ACACTTCCTGTATCAACTGCAGGTCTCAAGGCTCTGCTCCACATTGCTGTGCAAGACCACAGCGGTGGGTGGCAGGTGCAAGGCATCCACCCATTCCAACAGCCTCCAGGAGGCAGGTGTGAAGAGAGCATGCCTGAGGCAGCAGCTAGAATCACCTCACCGATGAGCAGGCACAGGCTCATGAGGACCTGCGTTCCATCTCCACCCCAGACAACATCAAAAACCCATACATCAAGGTACATGTCTATAATCCCAGCACTCAGGAGGCAGAGGCAGGTGGATCTTTGAGAATTCAAGGCCAGCCTGGTCTATACAAGGGAGATCCAGGACAGCCAGGTCTACAGTGAGACCCTGTCTCCAACAAAAGTAACTCACACCTCGGTGTCTGGGGTTCTTTTTCAGTTATTTGTAGACAGATTCATAAGTGTGGAGACCGAGCCCTCCACTCCTCAGCCCTTCGGCCTAGATGTGAAGGCTCCCTGCTCTTGCTCCCCAGCCTGAAATACTTCCCTGCATGTTGCTGACAGACACGGATCATGCTCTTTTAGGTGGGCACCGTAGCTCCATGACAAAGCTCTCACCTGTTGTGCTTGAGGCCCTGGGTTTGATTCCCCAACACAACCACAGAATTTATTTATTGGATTTGTTTTTACTAATGATATGTATGTGTGCGCCTACACACGGCTGTGTGTGCATGTCTCAAGGAGCCAGAGACCCCTGGTCCCCCGAAGCTGGCATTCCAGGCCGTTGTGACCTGGGCCCTCTGCAAGAACAACCAGTGCCCTTAACTGATGGGCCATCTCTGCAGCCCTGAGGTTTTGTTTAAATAACAAAATAAACAAATGAAACATTACCTTCTCACCAAACTAACAACATCATGTAGTGTCCCGCCTATGTCCGTGTGATAGTCTCTACAAAGCACATCTCCCGGAGCTGAGCAGAGGCGTTTCTGTCTGTCACTCCAATGCTTCGGTTGAAGCAGAAGGCTAGAGAGCTGGAGGCCGGCATCAGGGAGAACCTGTCTGAAAAGAACTCAACAGTTGTCCAAGACCCTGGGGCCCATCACTAACAATGATGGAATCCCTTGAAACAAATGGAGATGTGGAAAGCCTGTGTGAAGAAACAGAAGTTTAAAAGCACCAAGTTGCCAGGCAGTGGTGGCATATTCGTGAATCTAGGACAGCCAAGACTACACAGAGAAACCCTGTCTTGAAAAAAGAAAAAAAAAAAGAAAGAAAGAAAGAAAGAAAGAAAGAAAGAAAGAAAGAAAGAAAAGAAAAGAAAGTTTAAGTTCAGGGACTGCAGACATGCTAAGTGGTTCAAAGCACTTGCTGCTCTTAGAGAGGACACAGGTTCAATTCCCAGCACCCACAGGATGCACTCATCCGTCTGTAACTCTAGGGGATCTGATGCCCTCTTTTGGCTTCCATGGGCACTGTGTACATGAGGTCTGCGGCAAGCAACACATCCATACACATAAAATAAAAGTAAACGAGTCTTTTTCTTTTATAGTGTCTAAATCCAGACGTGGTATCTGAGATAACCCCAGATTGGAAGAATGAGGCAGGAGGACCGCAGTCAGTTCTAGGATACACAACAAGTTCCCGTCATCGTGGGTTACAGAGTGAGACCCTATCTCAATTTCCATCCCAACCCCCAACCCCCCAATTTTCTACCGCTGTTTTATCAAGCTGGACACCAAACCTAGCTCATGGATCACTGTCTGCAGACCCGATCCTGTGGTTCATTCTTTCTTCAGTGGGAGCATCGGGACAGGGCTGGGGCAGGGATCAAATGAGTACGCATGGAGACATGAAAGAAGCTGGGAGGGAGGGAAAAGGGGGGTGATACGAAATTACCCGGTGGCACACCACTGCCATCCCAGCACTCAGGAGGCTAAGGAAGAAGACCCCACCTCAGAAAAATAACAATAAACACGAAATCACAAGGCGAAGGGTCTGAGCCCTCCTGGAAGAAATGCCTGACAAGCAATGATGGAATCTCTTGAAGATGTGGAAAGCCTGTGTGAAGAAACAGAATTTAAAAAGCACCAAGTTGCCAGGCAGTGGTGGCATATGCCTTAGGCAGATGGATCTCTGTTGAGTTCGATGCCAGCCTGGTCTACAGAGCTAGTTCCAGGATATCCAGGGAGACACAGAAAAACCCTGTCTTGAAAAACAAGACAAAACAAACAAAAATACAAAAAAGAAGCACCAAGACACAGCAGAAAATATGGTTACTCACACCTTGGCACACATACAGACACATGCCACGTGCCCATCAACGTGGCCTTGACTATTGGGAGTGAGGAAAAAGCTTTGCCTCCATTTTCGCTGCTGTCTATTTACAGCGCAGTTTCCCTTCTGTGGCCTCTCACCTCTAGCGGGCGACTGCAGCAGGGTCACCCCTGAGTTCCACCCCACCTGTCAGGCAGCAGCTGCAGATGAGGGTCCCCACGGCCGAGGTCAGTATTCCTCTTCAGCTTTGGCTCCACTGACTACGAGTTCAGGGTGCCCACCCATGACCCCTCTTCCTCCCACTAATTTGATCTACCAACCAGCAGACTGTGGATTTATTCTGATTTGTTTGTTTGTTTGTTTGTTTATGTATTTTGAGGCAGGGTCTCACTAAGGAGACCAGGCTGGTCTCAAACTCAAGGGCTGCTTCACACAGACCCCTCCAACTGTTCTCCAAAGGACGGGCGGAAGGGCAGAAGCAGGGAGCCAGGGTGGAGGGAAGGCTTTGTGCTATCCAGACCTCCTGAGGGCCACCTGAGCAACAGGTTCAGAGGCTTGCAGAAGCTTTTCTGAGCCAGGTGCTAATGGAGACTTCATGGGCGAGGTATAATGGTTCAGGTAAATGGCCTTGGGGTTGATAATCAGAACAAGGTGAATCCTTTCAGGCTTCAGGGAGGCCCAACTTCAGGGTGTGTGGTACTCAACCAGGCTTAGAGGGTGAGGGATACTAGCTCAGGAAGGCCATTAGCATACTAAAAGACACATCTTCTTCAAGACGCCCAGGTACTCTGAAGCTGTCTGGCAGGAAATAGGGACCAGAGGAAAAAAAAAAAACAAACAAAAACAAACATACCTCCGCAACATCACATCCAGGCCCAATTCCTGGGGCCATTCAGCCCCTCCCCATCCCCCCCCCCATATCCCCACCTTCATCCCCGCTTTCTCCTTTCTGGTCTTGGAAGCTTTTACAGAGTCAATTCCTAATCCAAAAGGGGTAAGAGGGTGAAGGTCTGAGCCCTGTTTCCCTTGGGGAGGTCACTCCACAACCCTCTCCTTTCACAGTCCCTAGGGGCCAATGGTGGCAAATACCCTTAGCTGCCCCCCCCCCCCCCGAGCCACCCTGATCTTGCCCCTCCCCCAGCAATCAGAACTGTGACAGCCATTGTTCTTGAACCCACCAGCTGAGGGCTCATGGCCACGTCATCCCCTCCCCATCACCCTGTGGTAAAGTCCTGGTTTCTAGATGGCAGAGGAAGTCGCCAAAAAGTTTAAGCAAGCTTTGGTTTTCCCAGTGGGGCAGACCAGACAGACATCAGGACAGAGAATTTGCATGCTGGTGACATCCTCATTCTCCAAGACTTTTTTTTTTTTCTTTTTGGAATGGGCCTTATGGCACATGCCTCTAATCCCAACACTAAGGAGGCAGGCGAATCTCTGGGTTCGAAGCCTGCTCGGTCTACTTTAAGAGTTCCAGGACAGCCAGAGTTATGTAATAAGAGAAACTGTGGCCCAGAAAAAGGGAGGGGTGTGTGTGTGAGATTCTTCAACAAGCCCTTCCCCACCTCCTCACCCCAACCAACCAGTGTGTCCCTAAATGGCAAAAGCTGACGGTGGGGCTTTCTGACTGAAGTCATTGTATACCCTTCTGGCCTGATCTGGCGGTTGGATATGAGGGGTGAAGGGGTGCGACCGGCCAGAAAGGGAGCCACCCGTTGCCAACAAAGGCACCAGGGCCCCCTTCTGCATCTCCATTGGAAGAGAACAACTTTTGATACAAACCAACTCCTTTTTAATGTAGAAAACACACGCCATGTACATAAATACGACCTGGGGCATAAATAAAGTAAGAAAATAAGAGATGTATACAAAATAAATTACTTATAAATACCACACTGCCAAGTAAGTGCTGGGGAGAGGACTTGTCTCCCCTGCTGCCACTGCAAGTTTGGGGGCTTCCTGATCTTGTCGCTTGTTTGCCAATGAGGGGTGCAGTTTTGACACAGGCAGTTGACACGGGTCTACACAATGGTTAGTGGTCAGGGGCAGGAGCCAGGAGCTGGGATGGCTAAGGAGCTACCTGCTACTTGCTCTGGGAAGGGGGTAGAGTGGGCAGATCCAGATTCTAGGGTCACATGACCAAGATAAGCTGCTGGGGCACAAGGGGAAGTGACTGTTCACCAGGCTGGAGGCCACTCCTGAGGGTCACTTCCATCTGACGCCTAGAGAGTGGGGAGAAGGGGGAAGCTAAGGGGTCAGCTGGAACTTTTAATCCCCAAACCATCCTGCAAAGCCCCCAAGGTTTTCTGGGCTGCCTTTTCCCCCCAAATTTGTTGCCCCATCAGTTCTGCCCAGGAGGCACTTGGGGGGACAAGTTGAGACCCCGTGAGGTCCTGACAGTCAACATATTACTTCAGAGCCTACGTCCTGTACGTGAATTTTGTCATTTGACTTCACATCTGCCAGCTGCCTCACTGAAACTGCCCAAAGTTTCACAGATTTGGCTCAAAATTAAAGAATGTTTCACAGGAGTGAGTTCCCCATTAGTGGAGGCATTCAAACAGAACTGGAGCAACCTAGCCCCATGTCAGCAGCCTCCAAAGTCAATGGGGCTCGGATGGCAACCAGGCAGGCAGTCAACTTAGGTTCATGATCAAGTCTAGCCACTAAAAGCACACATGGTCCACGGGAGACTTAGAATATGTACAAGCTCCTAAGGGGAAGTTCCTAGGATTTTGGGGTTCTCTCCATCCTGCCAGAACCCCATTACTTCTGGAAGCTGGGACTCTTGACCACTTCTCCGTCCTCCACCATCCCAAACGGATCCATGCTGTCGCTCTCCATGGACTGAGGGAGCACCTCCGACTCCAGCTGCTCCTTGGCTTCCAGGAAGGAGCGCGGGAACACGGGGAGAAAGTTGGAGGGCTTCTGGTCCCGGAGCTGTTGCCTGGCCTTGGCCCTGATGAGGATTATGTGGAGGTGGTGCTTCGGAGATTCGTACTGGTTGAAGCCTAAACAGTCCAGTTCCTCCCTGAAGCTACAGTCCTCCTCCGAGTAATGAGTCTTTGGAGAAAGAAACAAGAGGCTGTGAGCATGAGCACCGCGGGGCTATCCCATCCCCACGGCTGCTGGCTGTGTGCGCTTTCCTATCAGCTGCCTTCAAGCACACAAAAAGCCAGGCATGGTGGTGCGCAACCACCATCCCATAGCTTGAGAGGTGGAGGTAAGAGATCAGGAATTGAAGGCTAGCCTGGGCTACATGAGACTGTCTCTGCTAGCTCAATCCAGATGCATCCCAGCATTTTCTCTGAGACACAGTCTTACTACATGTACCCCTCCCTGGCTGGCCTCGATAGAATGTGCTACGTAGACCAGGTTGGCCCCCAACTCAAAAGATCTGCCTGCCCCTGCCTCCTGAGTGCAGAGATGAAAGGCCCCAATGACCCTGTCAGGCCTAGATTTATATCTTGAGACAAGAGTCCTCATGTACCCTGTGCTGACCTTGAACTCCTAAGCCTTCACATCCCAAACGTTGGGACAACAATCTAGCACCACTGGGCTGATTTTATGCAGTGCTCAGCTGAACCCAGGACTCTGCGCATGCTAGGCAACCACTTCGCTGCTTCCAGAGGGTTGGGCTGGCAGGTGAGTGGTTTATTCCAGTTATCCACCCCTGCCTAGACTGAGTAACATCCACACAGCCACTAGCATCGTGAAAGTCTCCGTGGCTTTTAACTAGTGACGTTAAATTCTGATCATTATTTTTCAGCTTCCCAAACTCTGTTCCCAGTTAGATTTCCTTTTCCAGGTGGTAACTGCAGCCTTCCCTGGGGCAGGGGATAAAGCGAGCTTTCCCCATCTAGCCAGGCAGCACAGGAAGCCTTTCTAATGCTGAGGTGGTTGGGTCCCCTACCACTGTGAGAAGAGAAGCCCCCCCCCCACAGGCAGCAGGCCAGGATCTGCCTGATAATCCGCAGCCCCTCCCCCATGCCGAGGACCAAGCCTGCACCCTGTGGGTGGCCGGAAATGTGTGCTACAGGAAGCTGTCCCTGATCCCCCATCACTCCCAGTAGCAGGACCTTCTTAGTCCCCAGGCTTCGGGTACCAGTAGCAGCCTTCCAAACTGGTGTTACATCCCTTTGGGAACGCATGGGTTCAATAAACACAAGCCCTGTTTCTGCCTGTGGAGGTCACTGAACCACAGGTGGAAGATAAGGCTCTGATAACAGGCTGATTCCAAGAACCTACGGCTTCTGCCTTGGCTGATGGCGTGGGGACACAACCACCAGGCAGCAGAGGCCACGTTCCCTGAAAAATGTGAGCCGTAGATAAACACAGGATGTTATTTCTCTTGGAGAATTCCTAGGAAGAACTGCCCACCCTTTCTTCATATAGGAGCGATAGACTGTGTGGGGCTTCTATTAAAAAAAAAAAAGTGTCAGGAATAGTTTATGATGGACTATGCCCACTAGATCCGGGGCGGCACTGGAATTGAGGGGCAAAGCTCCTATGGGTCTTTGATTAGAGCAGAACAGGAGGGAGGCCACAAATAAATATTCCAGTAAGACACTGTGGCAGAAATTTTGCTCAGGCCTGGATTATCAGCTTTCAGACAGGTGGTGGAGCCCCTTCTTTGTAAACCGGCTCCTCTGCAGCACCCTCCTTTCCCTGAAGACCCCTTTCTTTCCTTCCTTCCTTCTTTCTTTCCTTCTTTCTTTCTTTCTTTCTTTCTTTCTCTCTCTCTTTCTTTCTTTCTCTCTCCTCTCTTTTTCTTTCTCTTTTTCTCTTCCTTTCTTTCTTTTGTGGTCTTTTAGGGTAGATAAATCGACCCCAGAGCCCCCCCCCACACACACACAAAGGCAAAAAACCAAACAACAAAACCCTTGAGTCCGGCAGCCATCCTTCCCTACAGGGAGCCCCCTAACCCCAACCCCAGCTCCTTCCAGGAGGCCAGGGCTGGATGGGAGGCCTTGGCCAAGGGACCGCACACAGCCTCCGCTTGTACCGCTGGAGGAAGAGCTGAAGACCTCTTTGAACTCAGAGCCTTTGTTCCTACAGGGCCCTAACCCCCATTCCCTCAGCTCCCAAGCAGGTGAGCGCTTTGGAGGCTTCCTGAAGTACCTAATGTTACATAGCGTTCCTAGGACATAGAGACTGACTGAAAAAAACACTTCCCTTTCTTTTCTTTTCTTTTCTTTTTTTTTTCCTTTTGCCTGAGGGAGAGAAAAGAAATAGAGGACCACACACGCCAAGCCTGGAGATACAAAGGGCAGAGGTGGGTTTTCCTGTTCAATATCAAAAGGGCCAAAAGCTGAATGGTACTGAGCAGCTAGCCGAGCCAACCTTTGGGTGGATTAGACACGCTCTGCTGGCCTCCTCCCTGGCCCGCTCAGTCTGGGGCCATCCCTTTCCGCACCGAGAGGGCAGAGTAACATTAACCTAACTAGCACTGGCTACTTAGCCCTCGAAGTTCCTTCTGGGCTTAAGCGGGAGGTGAAGAGACCCAACACAGACCCCGCGCCGCCCGGAGCATCCCGCCGCGTGGGGTGGGGGTGGGGTGGGGGCGCTCACCTGCCCCCGGATCTTGCCGTCCGGGCCCATGCAGAGGTACCGTACGCTGTTGACGTCCTTGATGGCAATCGTCTTCAGAGCGACCGCGCGGAACTCTAACAAACCTGGGAGCAAGAGAAGGGAGAAGCTGCAGCCGGGACCCAGCAGCACGTGGGCACGGCGGGGCCGCACTACCTAGCTCCTCTCCAGCTCCAGCCTGGAAGTCCGGGGATGGGGGTGGGGGGGTTAAGCCCTCCTCAAGGCACTCCCGTGGGCTCCCGGGCCCCAGGGGACGCGCTGGTGGACACTTACTCCGTTTATTGTGGTCATCCTCGCAGCCCACGGAGCCGTCGCTCCGGATATACAGGAAGCAGTTGGAGAGGTGGGGACCGGCGGCATACAGGTGCTGCAGGCGGGTGACCTTGCCCCAGCCGTAGAGAACGAGCGGCCCTTCATCGTCGGACAGGGCCAGGGATCGCCGGGCCAGGGGGCGCCCAGTCACGGTCAGCCACAGAGCGGCCAGGACCAGGGCTCGGCCGGCTGCACGTCCTTCCCGCGGTCTCCACATGGCACCTCGGGAGGCACGGCTAGGGAGCTGGCGAGGAGGCTGCGGGGGCTCGGGGGGCGCGAGCGGCAGGGGCAGGGCAGGTGCGGGGGAGCGGCGGCCACAAAGCAGCGGGGCGCTGGCGGCGCGGGGCGCGCAGCGCTGCTCCGACGGCGCGGCGGCTCGGCGCACGCGGCTTTATATACGTTTCGTCCCGGGGGGGGGGGGGCGCGGGTAGCTGCCGCCGCCGCATCAGTTTCTCCTCTTAATTGCATCGAGACTCCGCCCTACACACACACCCACTCGGGCCCAGCCCGGTGACCCCGCCCAGGCCGGTCAGAGCTGCGGGAGAAGGAGCCCTCATCCCTCCTCGCCACCGGGTCCCCGGTAGCAAGTGTTCAAGGCACGGCATCCTGGCGGTTTATTGACCAGGCGGGCGGTTTTAATTTCACTCTCGAGGACCCAGACCTTCAGGGCCTCGGCTCTCAGAGGGATGCGCTGGGGACGGTCGCTAGGGATGGCAAGGCACGCGGAGCTCTGCCTCCTTGGCCCCCGGTTGGAGTGTTGGGTCCCCTCCCTTAGCCCGCCCTCACGCAGCCGACCCTCTCACGTTTCCCCCGGCCCCACACCTAGGCCCCCTCTTCCTGGGTGTTTGCGGTGAACGGTGCAGACGTCGCGGCAGCGAGTCGCGCCCGCTAGGTGGCGCTTCAGCCCCAGTTTCGGCCTCGGCTGTGCTGCCGGCCCAGCTCCGCGGGGCCCTCTGCCCGCCTCGCGCGTGGGCTCCACCAGGGGAGAGTCACTGGGGCTGCGACTCTCGAGGAGGGTGGGCTGGCCAGCGCGCAGAAGCAGGACGGGCCGCGGGTCCCCTCTTGTGTGGGTGGCTGGGCCCCTCCCAGGGTCTGCCCACCGGCCAGGAGGGAACCCACTGGCTTGCAAGCGCGGACGCCGCTGGCGGCGGGTCGGGTGGGGGAACAGGGGCCTCTCGGTGAGCCGCGCTCGCAAAGAAAGGAGGCAGCCTGCAGAGAATTCCCCGTCCTGGAAGAAAGGGTCCTCGCGGGGGGCTTTGGGCCAACCCTTATCCTTTCTCATTAGGCCTCCAATCCCCTACCTCCTGGGTGTGGGGCTGGTTTGGGGAAAGAGGTACCGGGCTGGCTCGGTGGTGATGGGAGGTCTGTCTGCAGGGGCGGGGCGGCTGAGGGATGGCAGGTCCGATGAATCTCAATGAGGAACACGCCACATTCAGACGCCAATAGCTGCTGGCGTTAATGACGGGGGCTCTGGGAGACTGTCACCAGGAAAGCCCATACAAAAAGCCATCGCCGAAGGCTCTCCGGACCGGTGACTCCATGCTGTGAGGCTTGGTTCAGAGAACCGTGCCTCCTGTAAAATCTAATTACTTCCCCCTTGTGATTCTCAATCGACAGCGCAGGCTATTAATCTTAATTGCCTTCTGCTGCCGCTTTCGTTTTAAAGTGTGGGGTGCCGGGGAGGCTGGCGGAGGCTTCTCTGAGGATTCTCCTCAAATTGGGTTGAAGAGTGGCATGCAGGTGCCAGCATCCCATCCCCACCCTGCCCTCTTCTCAGAGACTCCCTTGGGAATGGGGTGCGCAGAGAAAATGCCTGTCCGGTTCCCGAGGGCGCCTAGGAGAACATTCTTCCCAATGGTGGGATTTACTGCCAACTCTGAACAGGTAGAAAACGGGACCCTTGAAAGTGGCCCAGCACGCGAGAGACGAAGACGGAGCCTTGTGTGTGGAAGAAGCAGGATGGCCCGTCTTAACGCTTGCGGATGACGGCAGATCCACAGCTGGCCACTCCCTGGGCACATTTTGGGCACTCCCTGGGCAACTGGACTCTGGGCCAGTTGCATCAGCCTACTTCTGGGCTTGTCTTGTGGATCGGATGAAAGAACGGGCATAGACCTTTGTTCATACATACAACAAGAGCCCGGGCTGTTCACGCCGAGAGCGAGAGTCTGTTACAACTTGTTATAGCAATGATCTGGAAGTGAGGGGGTGAATCCTGAAGGAAACTGAGGCTTACAGAGCCAGAGAGGGAGGGAGACTTGGCCTGGCGATCCGGATAACCGCTCCTAGGTTTTGGCGGGTACCTCCGGGAGAAAGAACGGAGAAAAGGGGAGGAAATTATTGCCTGTAGGGGGCGCCTGCTGCTTTCTGCAGAATCTCCAGAGCCTGTGTGGTGTGGGCAGCAGCTGAGCAGGACTCCTGTGACCAGTCGGCCAGAGAGATTGGCTCGAGGGCTTTTCTGCTGGTTGAATAACAATAATAATAATAATAATATTTTTTTATTCTCTGACAATCCATTTTTTTTCCAAAATTGGGTGTATGTTTGTCTATTTGTGTGTGGGAAGGTGCTGGTGAATGCGGGTGCCCAGGGGTGCCAGCGGTGTGCTATGCCTCTGGAGCTGGGTGTGAGCTGTCTGATGTGGGTGCTGGGAGGTGAATTCAGGCCCTCTGAGAGGGCACTTTTTGTGTCTTTTTGTTTCTTTGTTTTTTTTTTTTGTTTGTTTGTTTTTGTTTTTTGTTTGTTTTTTTTTTTGTTGTTGTTTTTTGAGACAGGGTTTCTTTGTGTAGCCCTGGCTGTCCTGGACTCACCTCACTTTGTAGACCAGGCTGGCCTCGAACTCAGAGAGATATGCCTCCTTCTGCCTGGGATTAAAGGCGTGCAACTCCAAGCCAAGCTGCAGTACTTCTAAACCACTGAACCATCCCTCCAAACCCAGTTCCCTTCAACTCCCCCAGAGTCCCCCACAAAATCTCCCTCCCAGCTTCAAGTCCTGTTGTTTGTTTGTTTGTTGTTTTGAGAAAGAATCTCTCTATTTCTCTTTCACACATACACACACACTCTCTCTGTGTCTGTCTGTCTCTGTCTCACTCTGTATGTCTCTCTCTCTCTCTCTCTCTCTCTCTCTCTCTCTCTCTCATCCTGGCTGTTCTGGAAATCAATATGAGGCCCAGGCTGGCTGTGAATTCAAGGCAATCCTCCTGCCTCATCTTACCATGTGCTGGGATTACAAGCCTTCACACCGGGCTTTACTGTTAAAATTCAGTGCCAAACTTAGGAAGACAAGCGAGAAGGCCAGCCCAGAGTCAAAGGTGGAGAATGACCACTAATGGGGAAAGGGGTGGCTGCAGGTCGCCAGAGTGTCCCACATCATGAGTGTGGGGGGAATGTTTGTTAAAATTTAGCATTGTGCTCTGAGGGGCCTGGCAAGATGAGTCAGCAAATAAAAGTGCTTGCCTGAAGACTCGTTACCTGTGGAAGGAGAGAACAGACTCCACAGGTTGTATTCTGACCTCCATATATGCACAATGTACACATATGACACATATGAGCACATGCACAGGAGTAGATAACTGCCCTTCAAATCAGGGCGGAGGGTGTAATTCGTGGTGTCATTTCCCAATTTTACAGACTGGGAGGCTGCATCTGAATTTTAAAAGGGCACTAATTTTAGAATCTTTTTTTTTTTTCTTTTTTGTTGTTGAGACACACGAAACAGCATGAGCCCAGCGAACGGTTTTCCAGGTGCAGCCTAAGGCTTTCCATGTTCACCTCATCATAGAAGCAGGTGTCACCCGGTGTCTCCAGGACTCTTTTTAGTTTGGAAAACAGACACCTGTGAGAGGGTGCGTTTTCTTTTAAGTCATACCTACATCCCCTGGGTGTCTTGGGAATGGCCCTTGATCCCGCTTCCTCATCTAGGAAATGCAGAAAGACGTCGCTACAGAGCATGTCTGAGGATGTGGTGTTTGCCCCTGATTGCAGGACGCTGAGCCCACAGAGCAGGAAGCAGATACAGCGCCCGCGCGCGCGCACACACACACACGCACACGCACACGCACACGCACACGCACACACTCTCGTCCCCCCCCCCCCCAGCTCAGCTGGTAGCTCATAGCACCTGCCAGCTATCCCCGAATTCGCCACTAGGGGCTCCCATCCTTGCGCTCCAATGGGCTTGATTCCTGTTGGCTTCCCACCAAGGGCAGGGCAGGGTGTGAGAGCAAATGCCAAAAGCCCGGGTGGTGCGGGGCACCTTCCCACAGCCCATGCGACAGGTGGGAAGGTGAAAGGAGGATCCAGTAGCCAGATGGACAGAGAAAGGGCTTTGCCGCCTCTGCTCCTTATTCTGTGTCCCTTTGGGTTGCATTCCTCTGGGCCGCGCTGGTCGTCAGTCTTTTCTGTGGGGTCTCTGGAGGGCAATGCTAGCCACTACTGGGAGGTTGCCCTCCTGAGGTTCAGTGTCTGGCATGCCAGTGAGCTGGGGCCTGTGTGGCCCTGAGTCGGTACGGATGGATCAGTCTCCCGCTAGCTGCTGGTGAGGTTGCTAGGAGCCCAGCGCGGTGGGCGGAGTCATTAGAGCAGAGCAAGCCCTCCATTTTCCGTGCCTGATTCCCACGCCTTCTGTTTGTTTTGAGAGATCCTCTGGAAGTTTCCTCACAAGGCACTCAGAGCCACAGTCTCTGTTCCTCTTGAACTGGGGCCTGGTGGCTCTGAGTGTTTATGTGACATCCCTAGGGATACAGTGCTCAAGTTTGGCTCATGTTCTTGCCCTATCTGATGCTGTGAGTGACTATGACCGCAGACACACTTGGTACCATCTGAAGACCCCACAAGCCGCCACCCACTGCCCAGGGCTCACTCTGAAGACCCTCTGGAAGGGAAGCATGGCGGGGTTTTTTTTGTTTTTAATTCCAGAAGTCCCCCCTTTCTAGCAATGATCAGCATCTGCGAGAACGGCCAGAGCCACTTATGGACATTGGTCACCTGGAAGCTCTTCCCAAGTGACTGCTGACGCTTGTGCCAATGATAAAGGGACAATTTCCCCCACACTGGCCAGTTTGCAAGCCAAAGGTCCGGAATCTGAACACAGGGCCACTGGCCTCTGTCTGGACTCCACAGAGCATCTAAGGCGGGAAGCCAGAGATCAGGACATGAACAAGAGCCAGGAATGGTGATGCACACCTGATATCCCAGCACAGAGGACCAGGAAGACCAGGAGTTCAACATCATTCAAAGCTGGGCGGTGGTGGTGCACACCTTTAACCCCAGCACCTCGGAGGCAGAGGCAGAGGGGATCTCTGTGAGTTCAAGGCCAGCCTGGTCTACGGAGTGAGTTTCGGGACAGCCGGGCCTGTTACTCAGAGAAATGCTGTCTGGAAAAACAAAAGAAAGAAACAAACAACACTAACAACAACAAATGGGGCGGGGCTGGAGAGGTGGCTCCGCAGTCAAGAGCATTGGCTGCTCTTCCAGAGGACCTGGGTTTGATTCCCAGCACTGGCGTGATGGACTGCAACCATGTGTAACTCCAGTTCCAGGGGGTCCAAAAGGCACTGT